CCAAACTCAGATTAGTTGTTAATTTCTCAAGAAAATTATGTATTGCCTTTAATTTGTCAAGCACTTGCTTAATAGAGCCTCAAAACAATATTATAATTAATTAAGTACACTTCACTATGTTTCCAATTTTTGTCCCCTTTTCTTTTTTTAAAGAAAAAAAAATTCTTGAGGCTAAGATGGGAATGGGAGGTGGTGGGGGAGTGAGATTTGTTGTGGCGCATGATTAGACATGAATGCCCATTTTTTTTTAAAGGGTTGAATGCTTTGAAGAGATGTGTACGAGTCATTAATTAATTAATCTTCCTTTGACCGATTTAATTTTCATGATCTTTAGGTGCGCGCGTGCGCTTAAATCATATAAATTTATATTATAATTAAAAACATAAATTTATTAATAAGTAAATATTAGTTTATAAAATAAATTTAAGATTTGAATATTATTTTATAAGATGAATTTAAGATTTAAGTTTTATAGTTAATATTTAAAAAAAAATTATTATTTCTAAATATATTGGATCTATAATTTAAAAGTGCCTTAAGATTGTTCAAAAAAATATTACGCTCAAAATACCCAAAAACTAATAAAAAAATACACTCATTGTTCCAATAAAAACAACTAAATAAAATTTTGTGCATCAGCGAGCTCAGCGTGAACATACATAGAGAGAGGAAATGTAATTACAATAATTAATTTTGATGCCAGCTCTAATGCGACAATTTAAAAGAATTTGAATTTATTTATATGTAAATTTTATATATTATATTTATATTAAATTTTAATAATTTAATTTTTTATTTTTAAGAATTGAGATTTATTCATATTTATTAAAAAAATTATCTTTTTCATATAAAAAATCATAATAAATTTTAATTATTAGAAATTGAGAGATATATTATTGAAATTTTATATAAATATAATGTATAAAACTTATGTAAGTGGATTCCTCATCAACTTCAAAATATTCTTAATAATAGTCAGGTATGCATTAGATAAAAAAAACTTAATATTAAAATTAGTCAGTTGAAAACTTCTAATATAAGAATGTAATTGTATATATCTTAGTATGATGTGTGTATGTATGCGAAAAGAAGGTAGAACTATCAATCAATACCCACGCGTGGGAGTGATTTTAAAAAAGAAATTCAAAAGGTTAATGCCTAATCATTATGATAGGATAATCTCTTTTATACCTGCCAAAAAGTGTATAACAGGTGACGTTCAAGTTGTATACTAATATCTTTATGCAAAGTGGTCCTTAGGGTTTCATAATTAATTTTATACATACATATAATTAACTCAACTTTCGATTTGAAACCTGAAGTGATTTGCGTTAATCAAAACAAGAGAACTTCATAGATCTAATAATCATATGAGTCATCCCTCAACATTAGGATTTTGCATAGTTTTTGTCTGTTAACTATTTTAAATACTTCTTTTGTCCATCAATTCTAAAAAATACATTTTTTTTTTATCATTTTGTTAACTAGTTTGTAAGTTTGTTCATATAAATAAACATTTTTAGTTTTTAAACTTATAAACTTAGAGATAAAAATATACATATATTATAAATTTATGAACTAATAAAAGTTTATATTTAGATAGAATTAATAGACTAATTGACATAAATACAAAAAAAATGTATTTCTTAAGGTTGAAGGACAAAAAAATACTTAAAATAATTGAAGAATGAAAATTATACAAAAATCTAAAGTTTTTTTTTTTTGAAACATATTGCAATTATTTACAGGTTAATTAGAAGATGAAGGAAAATGTTTTTGTGAGACTCAAACGTGCAATTCACAGGAGATGAACAGTCATAACTCAAAATCCAATGTCACTCAGTGGACAGAACGGGATGTTCATACAAAAATTTAAAGTTAAAGAATCAAAATTGATATTTAACATTTTTTTATACAACCAAAAAAATTTGTGTTCCAGTAGCTCAATTGTCATCAAATGCTGGTTTCTATAACTACACCCTTGGATTATTATCAATAAAAACTACACCCTTGTATTGCAAGTACGTGGCTATATATTTACCTATAACTTAGGATTAGACCCATTTTTCAACTTCACGTCGGCCTCAGTCAAATGTCAATACATTCATTGAATTGTTTCATGGTCTCTATTGTTTTATCCCAACACTTTCGCTCAAAACAGGTACGTAACTTTGTTCAATCACGTTTTTAGGCCGTAAACAGGTATAAATTTCATAGATCTCCTCGTCATTTTCTCAGTCAAAATTTCAAAGTCTGACCAAAGAATAAAAAAAAAGGAAATTCAAAGTTAAATTAATAGTAGTATGTTGGATTTTTGTGAATTTTACCAGATTTTGACTCCAATCCGAACCACGATCTGGTTTGACTGATATCTGCATTTCCCACGGTTATCTTTCTTGGGCCGCTCCTTGCTTTACACCAAGTTCCAAACCTTTTGAAAGCAACCATTGCCTATATTATGCCAACTACCATTGTGGGAAATTGTTTGCAGATAAAAATAATTTTAGGATAATTTTTTAATATTATTTTTTGTATAATTTAATGTATTATTTAAATGATTAATTTTTTATTTATATAAAATCTATAATATTAAATATATTTACTCAATATATAAAAATTATATTAAAAAATAATATAAAAAAATTATTTCTATAACACAATTTTTATCTATATAACTCTTTTAAAAAAAAGTAGTGATATTTAAAAATTTTAAATTTAAATTTAGATAATTCTTATTGTCAATTCTTTCAATTGTACTAATTAAAAAAAAAAAAAAGTTCCATTTCTAATGTTTATGATTTTCTATATTTCCACCGGCCAATGGCGCTGGCGTCTGAATGGGGGATAGGAGAACAAATGCGCACGTGTAGCACTGATGCGACTCTTATCGGTGTCAACTTTAATCTCCTTTTTTTTAAAAAAAAAATCTTAATTTGTTATTAAAATTAAAGATTTAAATTTTTATAATACTAAGTAATTAGTATTTTAAGGCAAAAAAATTATAGGTATACTATTTATATTCAATTTTAGTTTTCATATATATTTTTTAATTTGGAGCATTTTAAATTTTTATTATTTACTTTTTTAATGTAAAAATGTTAATATATTTATTTTTATTTTAACCTTTTTTTAGAAAAAAATTACAAAATATATTATAATAAATACTTAATTAATTAAAAGTAAATATAAAAATTTGTTAATTAATTATTATATTTCTACTTTATTAAACAAAAAAAATATAGACGAACTAAAGTTTAACAAAAGGAATAATTTGAGAATAAAATCCTTATGTTAAACCATGGGTAAAAA